GTGCCGGCTAGTTTGGGGGACGAGCTCTCTCCCCACTTGGGGCGTCACCTTCCGCAGAACGACGTCCCCGTCCCCCCATCTGTCCCCAGCACCGTCAGAACGAAAGCGAGGCGGGGAGGCGGGAGTGCCCTCTGCGGAGGGTGACAGTTCTGGGGAGACCCCTGGTAACAGGAAGATGCCCGGTCCCGTGGGACGCGGATTCGTCCTCTCTTCGCCATCGGTTTCCCCCCGGAGCCCTTGGTGCCGCGGACCGGAAATGCGTGCGCTCAAGCCGGGTCCCTTTCCCTTGGAGATGGGCCTTGCCAAGCCGGTTCCTCGCTGAAAATCACTCTTTTACACGCCTGTCTCTCAGTGTGGCTGAGCGAGACGGGGACCCCGACGGGCGCAGGCGGCCGACTGCCCCGGAACCGGACAACATCGGAAACCGCGAGCACTGGGTCGGGGTGGGGTGTAGGGATGACCATAGAAAGCTGCGCGGAGGCCAGAGCGACACCATCGAGAGCGGGGCGGCTAGAGGGGCCGCTGTGGGAGGGCCAACGCGGGGAGGCGCGGGGCGGGGCCTCGGACGGAAGCAAAGGCTTGGGTTCTCCCCAGCGGCTGCCCGTTCCCCCGCTGCGCCCTGTTCTTGGGACCCGCGTAAAAGTCACTTGGGTTCTTGGGGACTTGTAACAGCCAGGTTATGTTCTTCCCGGAGGGTGACGGGGCCAGCTCCTAGCTACGCAGGTCCGACATCTTTATATTTTTGCCAGTCCTAGGGCTTGAACCCAGGGCCTGGGCACTGTCCCTGAGCTTCTTTTGCTCAAGGCTTACCACCTGAAGTCTTACCACCTGAACCACGGCACCACTTCCGTCTTTTTCTATTACGTGTTACTGAGGAATGGAACCCAGGGCTCCAGGCATGCTAGGCAAGCACTCCACCACTAAGCCACCTTCCCAGCCCTATTTATTTTTTCTATCTTCTCCCCTGCCCTTTTTTGATATGGAGACAGGCTTCTCACAAGGAGCCTGAGATCCTCTTTTCTTTGCCTCCCCAGAGCTTTTCCTTTTGAAACTGGTCTCACTATGTAGTCCAGGCTGGCCTCTAATTTATCCTCCATACCCCCCCCCCCCCAAGCCAGTTTCTAAGATCTTTCTGATGGAAAATAACTGGAAGGAAGGACACGCACCACCCTCTGATGAGCTCCCTTCCCATAGCTTAGTATACTCCTTTCCCTCTCCACAGCATAGCATGCTCCCTTCCTAGTCAACACTAGACCCATTTAGTAAAGGCAGTAAATAATTAGCCTCCAATCTCCTCTACGTTGGGGTGGCACTTCTCTGGGGCAGCTACCACCATATAAGGCAGCAGGAGCCCCTTAGAGTGACCTTCAGGTCTGGGCAGCTGCAGGGCCCTTATCTACTACTTGGGCAGCAGCCATAAATCCTAGTCTGCTATGATGAAACCCCTGGCCCTCACGTCTTCACCAGGGTCTCTGCCTCCTAGACCCTTCTAGGCCCTCCTAAACCTCCTAGGTTATATAGGTCACCTCGGACAATAGCCAGTGCTTCTTCTCACTTCTCCCTTGTGAGAAGGAGTCTTGCCGACCCCATCCCCAGCAATAAATCTTTGTTCTCTCTACCTGGATATCTGTGTGGTTCTCTGGTAAAGTTTAGTTTACCCTATCAACAGGCTTGAGCACCCAGACTTATTAAGTGGTGTTGGTTTGTTTGTTTTGTTTTTTTTGGTCTGGTCGTGGGGCCTGAACTCTGGGCCTGGGCGCTGTCCCTCAGCTCTTCAGCTCAAGGCTAGTGCTCTACCACTTGAGCCACAGTGCCACTTCCAGCTTTTTTTTTTCTTTTCTGCTTATGTGGTGCTGAGGAATCGAACCAAGGGCCTCATGCATGTAAGGCAAGCGCTCTACCACTGAGCCACCTTCCCAGCCCTATTAAGTGGTGTTGGGAGTACACTCGGTGTCTAGGCAGGTGCTAGACGAGTGCTTTTTCATTTGGCACACTCCTGGCAATGCTGGCACACCATCCAGCTCACCTCTCACCATATGGTGCTTGGGCCAAATGCAATACTCTTACAGGCCCACACCTGCAGGTATTAAGTCTTGAGCTGTCCCTGCTGTCTGGAGGGACCTTTTCTCTGTAATTTTTTTTTTTTCAACACAGAAAGTTACTCTAAGTCCTGCCTGACTCCAGCTCTGAGCCAAGCTCTCTCTGGAGCTTCTCTTCTGAACTTCTCTTCTTTCACTATTGGTTCCAGGGGAGTAGTAGTTGTGTGTGGCACGTGTGCCGCCCCTGTCTTCCCGTGGTGACTTCATGCCAGCAGGATCAATACTTCAGTCTAGTGCTGGTGGGGGTCTTCAGCCAGCTTTGTCTCTGGTTGGCTCAGTTGTGCTGGCAGATGACTGCTTCCCTCTGCTCTTTCACTCCTAGCTTTTGCCAGGACTTAGTGTTCCATGGTTTGGCTCTCTTGCTCTTCCAAAATGTTTGTGGTTTTGAGACACTTTATCACTGGGTACCCCAGGCTGGCACGGAAATCGTGATCCTCCAGCCTCCACTTTTTTTTTTTTCTCTCACCAGTCCTGGGGCTTGAACTCTGGACCTGGGCACTGTCCCTGAGCTGCTTTTGCTCAAGGCTAGCGCTCTATCACTTGAGCCACAGTGCCACTTCCGGCTTTTTCTGTGTATGGGGAATTAAACCCAGGGCTTCATGCATGCGAGGCGAGCACTCTACCACTGAGCCACCTTTCCAGCCATGCTTCTGGGCTCTTGAGTGTGGGGGTTCCCACACATAGTTGGGTCCTCGAACACTGAACTGGGACATTGGCTCTAGAATATCTTTGCAGCTGTCCCTCAGGTTGGGTCACCTGCTTCTGGAACAACCATCGCACTCTGACTGTTCACCATGGCTGCCTATTTGCCTGCATCCTGTAGACTTGTCTGTCAGAATTGCTGAGATTGAAACCCTAGCATGTGAAATGGAGTTTGGCTGTCATGTGTCTGAAGTGTAGAAATATTTACACAGCTCCAGGACATGAGAACCAGCCCCAAGGAGCAACAATAGGCAGGGATAGACACAGGATTTCACTAAGCTTGATTTACTGGGAGAATAATAGAATAGTGACGAGATGGGGGTGGGGGCAGCAAGATCAAGTGAGCCTCCAAAATTTGTGGTAGCAGGAAGGAGGGTGGGTAACAGAGCTAGAAGGCACCTACCTTCCATTAGCTGATATCCAAGAGGCAGGTATATGGCTGACACCAGAGTCCAGCTGGGAAGCCTCACATTCTACACATGACCAACTGTTCTTCTCCCTGCTGGGCAGCTGGGCAGGAAACACTGACTACTTTCATTTTGGAGCATTTGTGGAGGTGTGACTCACGATGGCTGCAGTCAGTATTAAACATAGCTTTGGCTGGATGGCTCACGCCTGTAATCCCAGCTACACAGGAGAGTGAGCTGTGAGGATTGAGGTTAGAAGCCAGCCTGGGCACCAAATTCCAGGAGACTCTCACCTCTAGATAACTAGCAAAAAGCCAGAAGTGGAGCTGTGGTTCCAGTGGCAGAGCCCCACTTGAAGAAGCCAAGTGAGAGCCAGGGGCCCTGACATACATGCACACACATTACTTGTATGTGTGTATATAAGGCACCTAGACAATGTCTTCCTGAAGTTACAGGGCTGGGTGTGAACAGGGATCTTCTGCTTCTCACTGCCTTTGTCCACACCTGTGGCTCTTTAATCTCAAGCTGTCCCTTTGAAAGGCAGAGATGGCTAAGTCAGGGACCTCTTCCATGTTGGGTGCTGTTCTCCTAGGGATGCTATCCTCAGGACACTGCCTGCCCATTCCCAACAATGAGCATGTGGGCCAGACAGGAAAGATCTCTCTAGCATTATCTTCTAATCCTGGCTCTGCACGACCCCTCCTGTCCCCCCCACTCCATGAGACCACTGGCTTCTCAGTGTCTTGTTTCCTCATCAGTGAACTGCTTAAGCTGAACTAAGAATTAAACGACTCATTTGAAATCCCAGTCTTGGCTGATAAGGTTCCCAGTGCTGCTGCTGACCGTGCCCACCGCAGTGCCTGAACTGTCTCCCGAACTGTTCAGATGGAGGGAACATTATGGTAATTTGGTCTTTGTCATCCTACAAAGCCTAGGAGAGTGCCCTAGTCCGGGAGCCACCTCCCCCCCAGGCCTTCCGCATGGGAGATACCAGGGACGACCTCTATCCAGTTCTCTCCTTTGCACTCAGAGGCCGGCATGCAGAAGGCACCGTTTGTGGAATGAATGACTGAGATTCGTGTGAGTGGGGGCCGAGGGTAAGGAGGAGGGATGGAGGATGGGGGAGGCAGGTAGAGAGGGCTTCTCTGTCACTCCAACTCCTCGCTGGTCCTCCCCACTTAGAGTTAGGCGTTTCCCCTTCCGGCTGCGCCTCGGCTTCTCAAGTTCATCCATGGCTTTATTAACTGCGGCTGCCTCGTCAGGGTTGGGTGAAGGCCGGGGCGGAGATGGGGGCTGAGACTGGGAGGCGGGAGGCGTTCAATGCCGGGCTAAAAGGTTTGCACTTGGGCAGTACCTCGGGAGGTGCCTGGCTGGACACCGTAGCTCACACCTGTAATGCCGTTTTCAAAAGGCTTAGGCAGGGGGTGTGGGCGTGTGAGACCGCCCCAGGCTGTGCAGCGAGCGCCTCTCTCCGAGACGCACGGACCCCTCCCGGGCGCGCCGCGCTCAGGCACCGGTGCCCCGCATTCCGGAGGCCGGGGAGGAGGAGGTCGGCGGAGGCGCCTGCCAGCGTCCCAGGCGGTGAAGGACGCCCAAGGTCCGCTCCTCATCACGCAGGGGGCTGCGTGAGGTTGGGGCGCAAGGGGTCCCCCGCCCCGCAGGCCCCGCCCCTCCCGGCCCGCACGCTCCCACAGCCCGGGCGGCTGCGGCGCCGGAACCTTCGTGCGGACGCGCGCGCTTCCGGCCGGCGCCCTTTCCCAGGGACGCCGCCGCCCCCCGCGTCCCCCCGCGCCCCCCGGTCCCGCGTCCCCGGCGCCGCCGGCCCGGAGCTTCCCGAAAGCTCGGTCCAGCCGAGGCGCTCGCTAGGGCAAGCCCCGGGCCGCCCGGGACCTCGGCCGTTCCCCCCCGGACCCGAGAGGCCGCTGCACTGGGTACGGGGGCCGGGATGGAGGGAGGAGCCGGCGGAGGGGCGCGGGGCGTGCCGGGGCCCCGAGGGACGTGGGGGACCGCGGCCGGGGCGGGGTGGAGACGCGGGCGCGCCTTGCAGTGGCTGGGGCCGGCGTCGGGAGAAACCCGAGGGTGGGGCGCGGGGTCTGGCCCCTTACCGCGGCCCGGGTGCGCGCGTGAAGCGGTGGCGAGGTGGGATCGGGGAGCGGGAGCACGCCGGTGAAGGGGCGGGCGGGGAGGCCGACGTGGGGGAGCAGCGCGGCTGACCCGGGAGTGGAAAGTGGGGAACTGGGTTACTGGGGCTGGGGGGGGAGGGGAGGTCGTGGTGTCCGCTAGACGGGGCGGCCCGGTCTCCAGGAGAGGACGATGGAGGAGGCGCGGGGGGCCGGGGCCCGAGGCGCCGGAAGGGGCCGCGGACGGGGTCCCGGCCTCGCCGGAGGAGGGAGCGATCTTAACTCGAGCTCTCCCTCCGCCGCTCCCAGCTGCCGCTCCTGATGCTGCTGCTGCCGCCGCGGCCGTCCCACCCTCGGTCCTCCTCTCCGGAGGTCATGGACCCTCCGCCCCCCCAGACACCCCCTTTCCCCAAGGCGGAAGGCCCCTCCTCCGCCGCGTCGTCGGCGGCGGGGCCCCGGCCCCCGCGGCTGGGCCGCCACCTGCTCATCGACGCCAACGGGGTTCCGTACACGTACACGGTTCCGCTGGAGGAGGAGCCGCGGGGCCCGCCGCCGCGCGAGGCGCCCCCAGGCGAGCCCGGCCCGCGCAAGGGCTACAGCTGCCCGGAGTGCGCGCGCGTGTTCGCTAGCCCCCTGCGGCTGCAGAGCCACCGCGTGTCACACTCGGACCTCAAGCCCTTTACGTGCGGCGCCTGCGGCAAGGCCTTCAAGCGCTCCAGTCACCTGTCGCGGCACCGCGCCACGCACCGCGCCCGTGCCGGCCCGCCGCACACCTGCCCGCTCTGCCCGCGCCGCTTCCAGGACGCCGCGGAGCTGGCGCAACACGTGCGCCTGCATTGAGCCGGCCCCGCGCCCACGCCCGGGGCCGCCGAGGTGACTGCCAACCCGGGCCTCGGCTCCCAGTCCGCCCAGCGGGAGGAGCATCGTCCCCCTTCCCCCTCCCGTCTAGCCGTGTGATGTAGACCAAAGCCTGCCGCCCCTCCCTGGGCCTCCAGCGGGTCGGACCCGGGCTCCCCCGGCCCCCGCTGCGCGGTGCGAGCCCCCACGGGTGCGGCGATCTCGCGGCGCCCCGGTTCCCCCACCCCCAAGCCCGGTCTCCCGCCCTGGGAGGCGGGGCACGGCCGGCCAGCGTCCGAGCCAGGCCCGACCCATCCGTGCCCCCGCGGGCCGGCTCGCCTCCACTTTCCTCTGACGCCCACGGATTCCTCCCTCGTTTCTCAATAAACATTCCGCACTCCGTCTCCAGGCCCATTCTTGCGTGCGCGTGGGGGTGCCGTGGGGGTAAAAGGAGTCGGGCCCGGACCGCGGGCGCCCGGGAACCTTCCTCTCGGAGCGAGTTGCCGGTCGGAGCACTTTCCCGGGGCCCCGCCCCCGTCGTCTTCCCGAAGACCCTCTCCGTCTCGGCGTCCTTGCTCCCCTTTCTCGGCGTCGCCAGCTTCCGGGCACACCGGCGCGGAGTCGCCCGGACTCGAGAGGCCGCGGCACCGGTACGGAGCGGGGTGGGCGTGGCCGCAAGTGGGCGTGGCCCGGGCACCTGCGGGGGCAGAGCCCGGACGAAGGCTAACTCGACCCGGGAGGCTGCGGCAGGCCGGGGCTCTGGGGGGAACCGCGACGGACCCACACTTAGCCCCGGGCCTGGACCACGGCGGGCGCGAGGTCTGGGCGGTCCGCAGGGCAGGCTGAGGGCAGCATCCCGGGCGAGGAGGGCGGGAGCCGGGTCGCACGGCTCGGGGGCGGCTGGGAGGGCTGGACGGAGGCGCGGCCGCATCCCGTGCGTCCCCCTCGGCGAGGCCGCCGCTCACCCTCTCCTGTCCGCCAGGCCCGCGACGCAGCTCCGGATGCCAGCGCTGCCGCCCGGCTGCACGCAGCCCTCGGCTCTGCCCCCCGTGGCGGCCATGCCCGCCGCCGCCGCCGCCTCGCCCCGGCCCGTGTCCCCGTCCCGGCCCCGCCGCTACCTCCTCATTGACACCCAGGGCGTACCCTACACAGCGCTGGTGGACGACCAGGCCCGGCGCGCGGCTGCGGCCCCGGGTTCCGCCGGCCAGAAGAAGAGCTACCGTTGCCCGGTGTGCTCCCGCGCCTTCGAGTACCAGTCTTACCTGCAGCGCCACAGCGTCGCGCACTCGGAGGCCAAGCCATTCCGCTGTGACGCCTGCGGCAAGGCCTTCAAGCGGGCCAGCCACCTGGCGCGGCACCGCGGCACGCACCGCGCCGGCGTTGGCCGGCCCCTCGGCTGCCCGCGCCGCTTCCGGGATGCGGGGGAGCCAGCGCGGCGCGACCGCGCGCACTCCGAAGAGTGCCCGCTCCAGTGCCCGCGCTGCCCGCGCCGCTTCACGGAGCAGAGCACACGGCAGAAGCACCGGCGGTGGAAGCACCCGTGAGCCGTCCCCGCATCCCGGCGGCCGCAGGACGGAGGGGCCCGCACGCCCGGCCCCAGCTCCCCCGGTCCTGGACACCGACACTCGCGGGACTGTGCCCAAGCGTGAGCCCCGTCCAGCCACGAGGCCCGAGCGGTGTAGAAAATTGCGGCCTCCCAGAAGCTGATGGGCACGGGGCGGGGTACCTGTCCAGGCCGATGTCGGCGTCCTGGACCTGCGCGGCCAGTCTACTAGTCAGAGACTCGCCCCGCCATGGGGAGCAAGGGCCTCAGCCCTGAGGCCTAGGCAGCCGGGCTGGGGAGGAGGGAGTGCCGCCTGGGGCCTGTCTCCCTCCCAAAATCTGGGTCACCAAGCAGTGTTTCCCAGCCTCGATTCGGGTCACCAAGCAGTGTTTACTAGATTTGATCCGGGTCTCCCAGGCAGTGTTCCCCAGCCTCCATCCTGGTCACCCAGGCAGTGTTCCCCAGCCTAAGTTTTTATTATAACACAGTACACAAGTTCACAAAACGTGTGTAAAGCCAGTTCGACGCCTCACCTTCATTGTGTGCAGGACACTGGTTTTTCTTTCCAAGTGTTTTGAAATACAGAGTCCACTCTTCTCCAGTGACATTAATATAATACATTCTCCGGCCCAGCCTTAGGTGGAGAGCACTGGGGTGTGCCCAGGCTGGGGGCAGCTGCAGGCCACCCATTGAGGTGACTGGAAGGGAGGGCTGCTGGTCTTCCTGACCACACAGTGTCTCTCCCTGGGGCTCAGGGAAATCCAGGGGCTGAGCCGCTGCCCGAGGATGGGCTGGGCCTCAGGCCCCCCAGTGTGTCCCACCTAATGCACAACTGCCCTGCTGGTGTGTCCCACCTAATGCACAACTGCCCTGCTGGTGTGTCCCACCTAATGCACAACTGCCCTGCTGGTGTGTCCCACCTAATGCATGCCTGCCCTGCTGGTGTGTTTTCATGGCTTGTTTGTGCCAGACACTGCACATGCAGGTCTCCTCTCAACTTTGAACTCTTGTGGGGTTTGAAGAGCTCCCCCCGCCCCCCCCGTGGGAGTCTCTGTACTGTCTAGTGATCCCCTCTGACCTCAGAGGCAGCGCTAGCCCTGGCGGGAACCCAGAGGGCCTGTCATGGGGTAGGGTGGGAAATAGCCGGCTGTTCTAGAATCAGCTCCTGCTCACCAGCATGCGGTGGGGGGCGCGACTGTTTCAGGGGTGGCAGTAAATCACCCCCGCCTAGCCCTGGCCCCACGTCTCGGGTAACTTTGGCTGCGGCTGAGGGAGATGGGGCGTCGGGCCGCGCCGCTGGTTCCCAAGGGGCCGTCAAGGCCTCTACTCCCCGCACTCCGCGTCCCGCCCCGGCCCCCCTCCTCAGCTCCGCAGGATGGGAATTTGGAGACGCTCCCCGCCAGGGCTGCGGGGAGGGCGGGGCCGAACGGCCAGGGGCCATCGCGCAAGTGCGGCTCCGGCCTCCCCGCCACGGCGGGCCTTACCTGGGCGCGGGAGTCCGGGCTGCGGCGCGCCGGGCCCGGCCGGACCGTGCGAGACCCCGCGTCCCAATCATCCCCACCGGCCGCATCCCGGACGCCTCACCCCCACGCCCCGCCCGCTCACGGGTGGGCGGGCTCTTCGTTCCCGTTCCCCGAGATACTTTGCAGACGCTCCCCGGCACTGCTGGTCCCCGGGCTGGACTCCGCGTGTGGGTGGGTGAGCGCGGGGGACCCCGGGTCCTCGGAGCCCAGGGGTGCGGGCAGGGGGGTAGGGGGTCCCATGCCCACCCCTGGCCTGGGCGTACGTCCCTGTTGGGACTTTTCCACGACCGCCCCCTCCCACTCGCGGGACAAAGGGCGGGGGCGCGCATGCGCACGCGCCCAGTCTCCCCCCCTCTTGGGAAGGGGCGCAGCTCGCCCACGCGAGGGCGGTGGAGGGGTGCGGGCCCATCCCCCGGTGGGGGAACTCGGCCCCGGCACGAGGGCTGCTCTTGGCTGGAGGGGGGAGCAGTGATGCGGGTCCTTCCGGTCCAGGCTGGGGTCCGCCCGAGTGACCCCGGGAAGGGCCCCGAAATGTGGGGCTCCCTTCCCCCCGTCCGTCTCCGTCCTTGTCACCAGAAGCGCAGGTCCCCGGCTAGCTTCTCCCTCGGCTGCTGACCTGGGCGTCGGGGCCTGCACCGTGGGGGCCTGAGCGGACCTCGGCGCCGTGGGGCCGCCTCCTCCTCCAGACCCGACCCCTCCTCCCTCGGACCCGGCCCCTCCTCCTCCAGACCCGACCCCTCCTCCCTCGGACCCGGCCCCTCCTCCCTGGGACCCAGCCCGGACCCCTCCTCCAAACTCCCCCGGGTCCTGCCCCCCCCTCGGACCCGACCCGGACCTCTCCTCCCCCGGGCCCGGGCCCCCTTCTCCCCGGACTGACCTCCTTTGTGGCCGCTATTTCCGTCCAGTGCCGCGGGCGCTCCGCTGCTGGTCTACCAACATCGCCATGAACGACCGACACAGCCCGCGGCGGACAAGTGAGACCGCGGCCTGCCCAGGGCCCCGTGACCCTCGGGCCTCGTGACCCTTGGCCCCCATGACCCTCGACCCCGGTGACCCTCGGGCCCCGTGACCCTTGGCCCCCATGACCCTCGACCCCGGTGACCGACGATCCTGTGATCCTCAACCCCTGTGACCCTCTCTCCACAGTGAAGAACGAAGAGGACGGTCTGGAGATCTCCATCCCCTTCGATGAGGCACCGCACCTGGACCCGCAGCTGCTGTACACGCTGAGCCCGGCCGGCGGCACCGCGGAGGGTGAGCGGGAGGGGGGGGCGCTGGGGGCGGCCCCGGGGGCGCTGCCCACGCTGACTCTGAGCCCCTGCCGTCCGCAGGGCCCCCCGAGGCCTCGTCGCCCTCCCCGGTCCTGATGACCGCCATGAGGGCGCAGCTGCACCTGGCCGTTGAGCGGAATTCGTGGCTGCAGAAGCGCATCGAGGACCTGGAGGAGGAGCGGGACTTCCTGCGCTGCCAGCTGGACAAGTTCATCTCCTCTGCCCGGGTGGACGCAGGTGGGGGCGCTGCCGGTGCTCCCTGCCCCGCACCCAGACTGCCTCGCAGTGGGGCTGGCCGGGTCGGGGTGGCGTCTGGCCCACGCGGCCGACCCCACGTCCGGCACACCTGCGGCCTGTGGCCCCCTTCAGATCTCCTCTGCCTATGTCCTAGGGGAGACAGCCTCACCTTGTGGGGAAGACCCCTCACCTCCACCCCAAACTTGTCTTTGCTAGAATACACACAGGAAGCCTCCTTCCCCGCCGTGAAAGACAGAGGTTGAGGGACCTGTGTTCCCACTCACCTAGTGTCTGCACTCCTTACAGCTTTTCTTCCAAAGAAGTCTCCCCGCTGACCTCCCGCCCCCCCATGGGCTTCTTTGAGTGGATATCCCATCATATAACTCCAAACCCTGCCTCAGGGTTCCAGGAAGGGCTACCCTCTTTGCTTGGCTCTAATTTCCAGGCCAGTAAGAGTCCAGCCAGGTGTGGAAACCACACCCCAAGGCCAAGGCTACTTTTGTTTTTTTTCCCTGCCAGTCATGGGGCTTGAACTTTGGGTCTGGGCGCTGTTCCTCAGCTCTTCAGCTCAAGATGAGTGCTCTACCATTTGAGCCACGGCGCCACTTCTGGCTTTTTTTGCTTATGTGGTGCTGAGGAATCGAACCCAGGCCTCATGCATGCTAAGTGAGTGCTCTACCACTGAGCCACCTTCCCAGCCCCCAAGGCCACTTTTGATGGACTGGAAGCAGTGGCTGGCTGGCTTGCTCATCTACCTTGGTTACTCCCATGTGTGTCCCACCCCCCCCCCCCAGGCCTTCCCACCACCTGTATTTTGGGGTACTCAAATCCCCTCCCCCTCCCCCCCCCCCAGGTGTAGCTGCAGCTGGTAACACCTTGAAAGTCTGCAGACAGGCCTGCAGTGTTTTGTGGCTGACATTACTGAAGACCCTTGCCATTAGGAATCTGGACCTGGTCTCTTTTGCCATGCTGTATGGCTGGGCCCTAGGGCTTCGGGACATTTTTGGAGTCTCCATCTCTTTTCCAGTTTACTTTGCAGGACACAACCTAGGTCTCAGCTAGCACCTCACCTCTGTGAGGATCGTTAAGGGTTCCCAAGCCCCAGACTAAGCCTTGTCTCTCTTTTTTTTTGGTTGGTCAAGGGATTTGAACTCTGGGCCTGGACGCTGTTCCTCAGCTCTTCAGCTCAAGATTAGCACTCTACCACATGAACTACAGTGCTACTTCCAGTTTTCATGGACTTTCCTGCCCAGGCTGGCTTTGAACCACAATCCTCAGATCTCAGACTCCTGAGCAGCTAGGATGACAGGCATAAGCCACCAGCACCAGGCTAAGCCCTCTTTTTTTTCTCTGAGGGTCTGACACCTCCCACTTCCCGAGCCAAGGCCCTCTTTGTACCTTGGGATTCAATCCCACTTTTCTGTTGCCCTGGGAATGTGCTCCATATTGGAAGCTAGTGGCAAATCCTTGGTTTTGTCCTAGTCAAGTGTCAGCACCTGGGAAAACACATCTCCTTTCCCTCTCCTTCCCAATCTCCACGTAGGTGGCTGGTATGTGCAACATTTCCGGTCTGTCCCCTGGGGTCCGGCTGGCCTCCGGGTACAACGGGCCACCCTTGTCTTTGGAATCTCTTCCCCAGAGGACCATGGCCGGGTGAAGCCAGGAGCCAGGCGGGTTGATGGGGACAGCCGGGCTGCAGTTGGAGGTGAGGCCTCAGACCCCGAGTCTGCAGCCTCCTCGCTCAGCGGGGCCTCTGAAGAGGGTGGCGGCGGCAGTGGCAGCGAGCGCAAGAGGCAGAAGCAGAAGGGCAGTGCTGGCCGGAGGTGCTTTGGAAAGCCCAAGGTCCGGGAGAGGCAGCGGGGTGAGTGGGGTGCATGCAGTGGGCATGGAGGGGGGATGGTCCCAGGATTTGGGGTGTGACTCTTGGGGAGGCCCTCCTTCCTCTGCATCTGTAAGACCACATCATGGGTTTCCGTGGTACAGTGCTCGCTTTGCACACATGAAGTCCTGGATTTGATTCCTCAGCACCACATAAGCAGAAAAAGCCAGAAGTGGAACTGTGGCTTAAGTGGTAGAGTGCTAGCCTTGAGCAAAAGCAGCTCAGGGACAGCACACAGGCCCTGAGTTCAAGCCCCAGACCTGGCTCCATCTCCAGTGTCAATGGGTGGCCCTGAGCTTAAGTTCCACCTTCATCAGAAGGGTCACCCGTTGCACCTCTCTAACAGGCTGGACCTCAGCTCCGGCACAGCCTACACAGTAGCTTCACATAAAGTGGCCTTGGGGGCTGGGAAGGTGGCTCAGTGGTAGAGTGCTTGCCTTGCGTGTATGAACGTCTGGGTTCGATTCCTCAGCACCACATAAACAGAAAAAGCCGGAAGTGGTGCTGTGGCTCAAGTGGTAGAGCCTTGAGCTGAAGAGCTGAGGGACAGTGCCCAGGCCCAGAGTTCAAGCCCCACGACCAACAGAAAAAATAAATGGCCCTGGTGTGGGTGAAGGGCAGTGAAGGGTCAGCCAAGCCGGTGATTTTCTTGGTGTGTGGCCTGTCTCCTTCACCCGCCCACCTTCTGCGGTTCTCTCGTCTGCTCTTTTGCCTCTGTATGCTTTGTTTTGTTCTCTTACCTCCTCCCCAATCGGGCTCCTCGATCTTTTCTTTCTTGCCTGTGGCTTTTCTTTGTGTCTGTCTTCCGGTAAGCTCTCCGGTCCTCCATTGTCTCCCTCTCCCTCTCTGCCTGCCTGGCTCTGCAGTGAAGGATGCCGACGGGGTCCTCTGCCGTTACAAGAAGATCCTGGGAACCTTCCAGAAGCTGAAGAGCATGTCGCGGGCCTTCGAGCACCACCGCGTGGACCGCAACACGGTGGCCCTGACCACGCCCATCGCCGAGCTGCTCATCGTGGCCCCGGAGAAGCTGGCCGAGGTGGGGGTGTTCGACCCGTCCAAGGAGCGCCTGCTTGAGTACTCGCGCCGCTGCTTCCTGGCGCTGGACGACGAGACACTCAAGAAGGTGCAGGCGCTCAAGAAGAACAAGCTGCTGCTGCCCATCACCTATCGCTTCAAGCGGTGATGGCTGCCCACCCACCCACCCACCCACCCACCCACCCGCGGCCCTGCCCGCCTGCCCCGCGCCGGGGCGGCACCGAGGGTGCAGCCCGGAGCCTGGCACCGCCCTTTCCCAACTCAGGTGTGCAGCCACGGCCTGAGGCCGGGCTGCCGCTCCGTCTCCACCCCACCCCGCGCCGAGGCCGCGGCCGGGAGGCCACAAGCCGCCTGCCCGCCCTCCGCGGGAGACAGAGAATTATTCAGAGAATTTTAATTAAAGATACATAAACATTTGGAATAAACGGCACGCCAGGTCTTTCTGGGAGGGGGCGGCCGGCCGGGGTCAGGGTGGAGGTGGAGCGCCCCACGAATACACGCTCCCCTCTCCTGAAATTGGAGGCGCCGGCCCGCCGGGGCCAGCAGCGCCAGGCAGCGGGGTTGGGCCGGGGTGCCGGTAGGGGTAGGCGGGAAGGCTGCAGGCCTTTTTTTGCCCGTCGTGAGCTCTGGGCTGGGACGCTTCCCTGAGCTGCTCAGAGCTCAAGGCGGACGCTCTACCACTTAGGCCACAGCGCCACTTCCGACTTTCTTTGGGGTACAAAGAAGAGTCTCACGGGCTTTCCTGCCCGGGCTGGCCTCGAACCGGGATCCTTGGATCTCTGTCTCCAGAGCAGCTGGGGTTAGCGGCCGGAGACACCGGCGCTCAAATGCTACAGAGCGGGCGGAAGTGCGTGAGCGCCGTTGCCAAGGCAACGCGACCAGGGCAGCCCCACCTAACCGTCGAGAATTGGGTACCTCCACGGGGGGCGGGTATAGATACCTCACGCATGCGCCCTAGGGCACACCCGCCAATCCCCAGCTACGGGGAGGCGCGCCTTAGATATCTGCGCAGGCGTACAAGGCCGTCTTTCCCCTCCCTCCCCGCCCCATCCCGTTCCGCGGTGCGCAAGCGCACACGGTGGCACTGACTACCGCCGCCGTGGGTGCTCTTCGCGCAGCTGAGTGGTCCTAGCGCGCCGCCCCAGGCCCTCTGCGAGGCTGGCCCTTCTCTGCCTTCTCCACACGGGAGAACCGGGTGCCAGCGCCCCACCTCGCACCCCAGTCTTCCTCCCGTCTCGGATCTCGAAGCCGGAAGGAGCCGAAGCAGTGACGGAAGAAGCCGAGCCTTCTCGAGGCCGGGGCGGAAGGAGCCGACGCTCTCCCGGAAGGGGCGGAGCGAGCAGCGGAACCTCCGGAAAAAGCCGAAGCTTGGGGTCGCGCTTGGTTTCTGGAGGGGCCCGAGGGTTGGCGCCGGGAGCTCCGGGGAGGGCGCGAACTCTCGTTGGGGGGGGGGGCGACTGCCAGGGTAAGGCCGGCTAGGCCTGCGGCCGGGACGGTTTGGGTTGTCGGAGGCCGAGAGTCCCGGGCGCCCGCGGAGACTGCCGATCGCTGACGCGCTGGGCCCCGGGAAGTTGTCGTAACTCGTGGAGCCGGCGAAGGCCTTGCTTCGGAGTCCTCGGTGACATCCGCCGCCGCCCGTAACTCCGCGGCCTGCCGTCGGGGAACGGCTGGCGAGCGTGGGAGCCGGGCTCGGCGTGGACGGGCTGCTCGCGGGGAGGGAGGGCGGGAGGGCGGGCGGAGCCGGGGCGGGGCGGGCCGCGGTGGGTTTGACTAGGCGGGCGCCGGATCGCCGGCGGCGGCCGGAAGTAGCCGAAGCCAGGAGCGGAAGTAGCCGAAGCGGCCGGAGCGGGCGGGCGGCGAGGCGAGGCCGGAGCTGCACGGGGCCCTGAGCGGCCGTCTCAGCATGTCGGACTTTGATGAGTTCGAGCGGCAGCTCAACGAGAACAAACAAGGTGAGGGGCGCCGGGGTCGCGGGGCGGGGACGAGGGCGGCTCGCGTCGCTCCCTGCCCCCCTCCCCGCCATTTTCTCCTCGCGTTCCGCTCCTAAGGACTGCGCCGGGTTCCCTCCCCCACCTCCCCCGGTTCGCGGCTCGCGCCTCGCACACGTGACCGCCGCGTTCTGCCGCGCGCGGCGATCGCAGGGGCGGCGGACACGGCCCGCGGCGCATGCGCGCGGCGCGGGCCCGTGCCCACGTGGCCCGGGTGGAGGCGGTATCTGGGCGCAGGTGCGCCAGGTCTTCGGACGCGCGTTTCGCCCTTTTGTTTCCTTTCTCTTCTCCAACCCCTCCTTTTTTTTTATGGAAAGGAGATGAAGTTAGGGGCCGTAATCCCATCCTTTTCTCCCGCTGCCTTGGCACTTCCGCTTCCGGTCGGGCGCGCTGCCCCGTCTCCACGCCCCCTTTGTTTCCAAAATGGCGGTGGTGAGGACGGGGCCCCCCCCCCCTTTTTCCTTCCTCACGTGGGACGGGGCGTTCATGCGTAGGGGTCCCTTTGTAGCCCTTTTCCTTTCCGGACCTTGCAGGCCCCGCTTGGGCCGGGCGTTTGGGCCCTGGCCTCCGGCCGCGCGGCGCCCGTGGTGAAAGCGGGGGTCCTTTTGTGTTTGCGGGCGCTCGCACGCCCCGCGTGCCCCGGGGTCCTTGGTGAGGGGAAGATCGGTGCCTTCGGCTTGAGGCCACCCCTCAAATCCTGGCCGCCCCGCGCTCAGGGCGCCAAGTAGACGTGAGATCCGAGGCCTTACGTAAGCGGAGCGGAGGGAGTGCCACAGCCGGCATCGAGCGAAGGTGCGCGGCGGGGCCGTGCAGGTGCACCCCGCGCGGCGGCAGAACAAAGCCGGGGCTGCGCCGGAGCCGTTCACCACTCCCGAAGTGTCCGGGCTCTGTGTTGGACCTCGAGTGCATAGATGTAGGCGGAGAGAGGTTTGGGAACTGGATGGGGTCTCCTGACCCTTAAGTTCTTCACTAGAATTTGGAAAACCGAGTAAGGGACTGAGAATTGTTTGAATCTGAAGGAAGGACATGAGAGGACGGGAATGTCTGAAGGGAGAAGTGACTTTAACTGAGCGCCCCTGATGGGCTGACCATTCAGAAGGTGTAAAGGTTTTGAGTTTGAGAACACCTGGATGCAGATACATTGTTGCTTATTAGGTGTTACTTTCATAGTTTAAAAAAAAAAAAAATCTGTGGACTCCGACTATCGCCACTTTGTTACTATTTTTCTGAGATTACTAAGGATGATAGTGTAGCTATAGTTACTTGCTCCAAAAAAGCCGTGAAGATACAGTTGTTTCTAAAATAATCATTGTAACAGCCTTCCAAAGGCAAAATTGTTTTCACTTGACCAGGGAAGAAAGAGGCTCACCAAGTTAAGAAAATCCCAAGTCTCTTAGCCAACTATAGAAGCACCAGATCTCAGATTAAACGGGAAAAAGAGTAAAGTGTATGTATGACATATAGTTGGTTCATGCTAAAGAATAAATGATACTTGTGAAATCTCAAGGAGTGCAAAAGTGGGTCTTTGGCTCACAGACGGGGTGTTGGAATTGGAGAACAGCAGGGAAAGGTAATTTTCAAACAATTCTGCCTAGACCTTGGAACACCTGGGTAGGGTGGTGTGACTGATTTAAAGTGGAGAAGTATTTAAAGGTTAAATTTGTGATTTTATTCCAAACTCTGGCAGAGCTGGCAAGCTATACCTACTACCCAGTAGGTATAGCTACAGCATTAGCTGGTCCTGAAAGATATCCTGCTCTCTGTTTTCCTGAGGTCTGCTGCTGGTGCTGGAATGCCAAACCTGAGACCTGGTACCCAGGAGTTGGTGGGGCTGTTCCCACAAGGTGACCACCACCTAGTTTTTTGGAGTAAATTGAAGTTCCTTGGTGCCCAGCTCTGCCTTCCTGTTACCCTGTCCTTGGGCCAGCCTTCCTATATCTCTTTCGGCTTTAGCCTCTTCAGTGACCTTGGTCTATCTGGAAACTGCCTTGTCTGTGTCCTGGACACCCGGAGAGCTACCTACCAATGCTGCTTCTCTGCAATTTCCCGTTTGCTGGTCTGTTTTTTTTTTTTTTTTTTGGTCCAGTCGTGGGGCCTGAACCCTGGGCCTGGGTGCTGTCCCTCAGCTCTTCAGCTCAAGGCTAGAGCTCTACCACTCGAGCCACAGCACCACTTCTGGCTTTTTTCTTTTTGCTTACGTGGTGCTGAGGAATCAAACCCAGGGCCTCATGCATGCAAGGCAAGTGCTCTACCACTGAGCAACCTTCCCAGCCCCAACGCTGGTCTGTTTTGAGCTGTAGGAGGGACTTGTGACCCACAGGTTGCCCGCCTTGGCTGTGTGGTACCCCAGCTGCTGCTTGAACTTGGGGCTCTGCCTGTACTCTCCTACCCAGTGCTTGCCTGCCCCCAGCTCTCCTTCTGACCACAGACTTTTTATTTTGTTTGGCTCTGAAGGGGAAGTCCCACGGACAGTAGTTGTAGCTAGGGTCTGCCTGACCTGCTGCCTAAGCACTGACATTTGTATTTGTTTTTTTACTATCTACTCTGGGTTAGTAGGGCTTAGGTAGTTGGGATCTCTCTTTGCCTGTTTCCTTGTGTGCATGTGAGCTTTCAGAAATTATCCCAAAGCAGAGTAAGGATTAAGTGCATGGGAAGCTGTTTAGTGGAGATTCTGGTGTTAGGAAACATCTTGATGTTTGTTACAAACATTTTTCTTTTCTGGCTTCTTTCCCATTAATGGTTGTGGTGTTAATAAAAAGTTCTTATTCAATCAGAGAAATAAGTAAGGAAATGGGACTAACTGATATTTTCCTTGCCTTTCCTATGATCCCCAGAGACTATCATTACTCTATTTTCTCTCTGTCTCTCTCTATATATTTTCTGCTAGCCCTGGGACTTCAACTCTGGGCCTGGGCACTGTTCCTGAGCTCTTTGCTCAAGATTAACAACTCTACCATTTGAGACATGGTACCACTTCTGACTTTTTTTGTGATTAGTTGGAGATAAAGAGTCTTAGGGACTTTCTACCTGGGCTGGCTTCGAACCTTGATCTTCATGTCTTAGCCTAGTGGTAGCTAGGATTACAAGTGTGAGCCATCTGTGCCTGGCCATCATCATTACTGTTTAGAGTGGTAACTGTTAAGTCTATTTGGTGCTCAATGGATGGGTAATTGCCTTGGGATTGAAGAAATGAGTGTGATGGTGATCACAGTTTACACTGGCTGGAGAAGAGGTTTTGCTAGCAAGGCTGACCTCCAGCTCAAAGGAGGCCGAGGGAGCAGGGTGGACAGGACAAGGTCCCTGCACAAGACTGAGGACTGGGATCCCTCCCGTCTCGGCGAGGCCTCTTTAGGGGAGGCTTGCTCTCTTGCATTATTTACCATCCAGGAAGGATAGGATTGAGTTTCCCTGCTTCTTGGGGTCACCAGATCTTGCCTGGGCCTGAAGACGGGGCTGTGGGTTTAGACTGGTTGCAGAGATCTTTCCTGAGGGGTTACTGGGTCCCTTCAGGAAAACGTTATTAGGTCTCTAGATTCCCCAGCTTCTATCCCTGCCCCTCTCAGGGACGACCCTGGGGTCAGGCCCCTCAACCCTCGAGGGGGACCAGGAGCCAGCTTCCTCTGTCTTCTCTGGCTCCTCAGCTCCTCTTGAGCATCCTCAGGTATCTCCTACCCCTGGGGCATTGCCAGGCCCTTTCCCCTTGGTTCCCTCAGAGTCCCTGTGGACTTTGGACTCTGGGGTGGGCCTAGGAGGTCTGTCTGCTCCCTCCGAATCCTTGCTTAAGGGGGTGGCCTCCCTGGGGTTCGGGGCATAGCCACCCGCACGCAGGGTGGGCTGGGCCTTCATCTTCCCTCCACTTATCCTAGTGTTTTTTTCTCACCCTTGCCCAGAGCGGGACAAGGAGAACCGGCACCGGAAACGCAGTCACAGCCGCTCTCGGAGCCGGGACCGCAAGCGCCGGAGCCGGAGCCGGGACCGGCGCAACCGGGACCAGCGCAGTGCCTCCCGGGACAGGCGGCGCAGAAGGTAGCCATGGGCACCCTGGCTGGGCCGCTCCGGGAGGTGGGCACTGGCAGCCAGCTGGGCTGCAGAGTCCAGACCCTGTGTGGCCCTTTCTCTGTGTACCTGGGGGCTGGTATCTGTGTACCTACCTCTTGGTCTGTCTTGAACTTATTTTTTCTCCCTTCTTCCTGAGATTTCTTTCAGTTTTCTTTGATAGTGGTGGTAGTTCGTTCTTTTATTTGGAGAGAGGGGAATGCATTATAATACTTTCTCCCAAAGGCTGTTCTCTCCTGGCCCAAGCTCCTGATTCTTTTTTCATGCTTCTCTGCCACTCTGGTTTATTTCTTTCTGGCCGCCGAGGAAAAAGGGGTTCATAGTGTATGTGGGGGCATCAGTATCCATAGCCTAGATGTAATTTTCAGTTCAGGGACTTTCCTCTGTTCTCTGCTGCCTTGGATGGGAAGGGTAGGATTCATAGAGGGGCTATAGTTCCTGTCGAGTGGCCTGTCCCCTCCCCTTCCTGTCCTTACTTCCTTCCTGTTGATGGGACTGTTGGGGGGGGGCAGGATCGAGGGGGCTTGCGCTGCTTGTTCACCTCGGTCCTGCCCCAGTCCTGGGGTTTAGAGCCCTTTTGGGGGGAGATGTGGTGTGTGGGGAAGAGGGTCCCCAGTCACCCCTTCCCATACCTTTCCCTCCCACCCCCCAGCAAACCTTTGACCAGAGGCGCTAAAGAGGAGCACGGTGGATTGATGTGAGCTTCTCTTCCTGCCCTTTCTGCCCTGATGTCCACTCCCTTCACCTTCCTCATGTCCTGTGTGCCCTTCCTGGCCTGCGTCCACTCTGGCCTGAACACTGGGAAAGTGTCTTCTTGCTTTTGAAAGCAGTGCCCCAAACTCAGGCCTGGGCATGGTTCTGACTGTGTCCTCTCCCCCCAGTGGGTGGAGCTTGTGTGTGTGGGAGGAGTCCCAGGGAGGGGGGCTGGGAGGGCCCGCGGTTCTGCCTGTCAGCCTTGCCCCACTCTTCATCCCTCGCCCCCCAGTCGTTCCCCCCGCCATGAGAAGAAGAAGAAGGTCCGTAAATACTGGGACGTGCCTCCTCCTGGCTTTGAGCACATCACCCCAATGCAGTACAAGGCCATGCAAGGTAGGCCCCAGGAGGCTCCCGGGGCGGGGGAAGGGCCCCGTGCTCTTGCAGTTAGCTGTTCCGGGTTGTGCTGAGGAAGCAGGGAGAGGGCTGGACCTCTGGCTTCTGCGTCCCTGCTAGAGGTGGAGGTGAGTTGGGGAAAGGAGGAGACCCCTTTAGGAAACCAGGTGGTCCTGGAAGCAGCAGTTCCCACGGGTGATTGTGAGCTCTGGGGGCGGTGGAGTGTCTGTGCTGGGTGGTCTGGTGCTCCTCTTGAGGGCTGCCCTAATGTGTTTTTCTGCCTTTTTTTTTTTATCCCATTTGAAGCTGCGGGTCAGATTCCAGCCACAGCCCTTCTCCCCACCATGACCCCTGATGGCCTGGCTGTGACCCCGACACCGGTTCCCGTGGTTGGGAGCCAGATGACCAGACAAGCCCGGCGCCTCTATGTGGGCAACATCCCCTTTGGCATCACTGAGGTACTGCCCTTCCCCTCCCCCTTCCCGCTCCCCCATTTCCCCTCCCTGCTCCTCCCCTTCCCTCCATTCCCTTTCCCCAAACCTGCACGGGTCAGACTCTGTTCCTGCAAGACCCCCCGGCCCCCTCCCAGACGGACCGATGGAGTTGAGCCAGCCAGGGGCCGGGCTGGGGGTGGCCCCTCCCTCCCTCCTCTTCCCCTCTACCGTCTCCCTTCCCTCAACCTCCTCCAGCAACCCAGGGTTCAAGCACACACATGCTGCACCTACATGTCATACCTACGTGTTGGAGAGAGACAGAGAGGGAGACTCGGACACACACACAGACGCACGTCCCCCTTTCCTCCCCGCAGTTTTTCTGACACACTCTCCTTTTCTGCCGTCTGTCCCCATCCTTTTCCCCACATCCTTCCCATGGTTGCTGTTCTTTTGTTTTTGATTGCCCTGACCTTCCCCCCTACCCACCACTCCTCTCCCCCCTTCCCTCTCCCCCACCCCTTCCCGTGGCACCCCTGAGAATCCCGAGATCAAAGAGTTGTTTCCATTTCTCTTTAAAGTGAAATATTGTGGGGCTGAGATCCCTCGTAGCAACAAAGTTTGCTACCATCGTCGAAGGCAAGTAAGGTCCATTCTGACTTTCTCAACCTGCACTTTGCTACATTTGATAAACCAGCCCCCGGACTCCAGGGCCAGAACCCTCCACATCACTCTTTTCTCCTCCCCTCCCACCCTGTCCCTTCCCCCCTACTCCTTCCTGCCTCCCCTGCACTTGGCCACCTCCTCCTTTCTCCGTCTGTCCTGGTCATTTGTTTCTCTGCTCATCTATCCTGTTCACTGCATTTCTTTTACCTCCCTATTATGTTGTTGGTTCTGCTGTTCTTTTTGTCATCTTGTCTTACTTTTTGTGTATTTCTTCTTTTCCCTATTGTTTTTTCTTCATCATTTTGCATAATAATCTTTGTCCTTTCTTCTGATTGTTGGGGCCTCTGGCTCTCCACCGACACCTCCCCATCCTGTCTGCCCATTCCATCTCTCATCCTTCGCTGTGTTTTGCTACTGCTTCTCCTGTTTTCTGATTTTCCTCTGCTTTTGTTCCTACTATTGACCTCTACACCCCTGACCCATATTCCACTGTCCCCTCCCACCCTCCCTTTGTCCCTCTCCCCTTGCCCCCAATCCCCTCTGTGTCTCCCTCTCTCACCCTTCCCCTCCTCTCTCCACCTCCCTCCCCGTCCCCTCCCTGTCTCCTATTCCCTCTGCAGGAGGCCATGATGGATTTCTTCAACGCCCAGATGCGCCTGGGGGGGCTGACCCAGGCCCCTGGCAACCCGGTCTTGGCCGTGCAGATTAATCAAGACAAGAATTTTGCATTTTTGGAGGTGAGCTGGCAAGTGATGAGAGTCAGAATAGAGTTTGATATGGAAATCTGTCTACCCCTCAGCTCCTCCCTCTGCCTGCAAGGGATTAGCTTTGCAAACTCCTCTCCCACGTCTGCCTTCCCTGGGCATCCATGTCACCTGTGGGGCCTCTGAACATCTTTTGGGTCTTTCCACACCATTCCAGGCCCATTTATTTTGCTTTGGCCACACTGATCTTCCCAGAACAAATGCACTCTTGCTTCCTTTGGTGCCCAGATTCAAGTAGTTCATGCCAGCTAATGTTTTGAAGTCACCTTCCCTGTCAGTCTCTGTCTAGTGAAGGACATTGTTTTTAGGTTTCCAACTTTGCTTGGGCTGGTACTTGCATAAAAGGGGAAAGAAGTGTTGGAGTGATGCTGGTTGCTTCATGCTTGTTGAGGACGCTTACTTGCTATGAACTGTTCTGGCGTCAGCATCACCTTACCAGTTGACTCTGACTTCCCATGCCAGCCTCTGTCATCGCTTTGTCCCTGTTCAACATTGTGACAGTCTGTACTTCTCTTTCTCTCTGTCCAGTTCCGCTCAGTGGATGAGACTACCCAGGCCATGGCCTTTGATGGCATCATCTTCCAGGGCCAGTCCCTGAAGATCCGGAGGCCTCACGACTACCAGCCATTGCCTGGCATGTCGGAGAACCCCTCTGTCTATGTGCCTGGTGAGTGGTCCCACCCAGTTTGCCATGTTCACCCTTCTGCTCCTGAGCGTGGCCTGCACTAGTTGGCAAGCGGCAGGTGTACTTCAGAACTACAGATGTTTGTTCCAGTGTGTCAGGGGTGGTCCCTGGGACCCACCTGGGGTGAGCTGTGATCTGCTTGAGGCGGCTCAGCTTGTAAGTGATAGAGCCAGTACCAGTGACAGTCCTGGTGGGGGGCATGTCACTGTGATGTGTGCCTGTCTGCAATGCAGTACAACTTGGCAGACCTCTGCACAGCTACTGGCATGAGGTCTGGAGCCCTAGGGGCTCACTCATGGCCTGTCTCCCAGTGTGTGTTGTGAACCCTGAGTTCCTAGGCTGAAAACCAGCTGGGCTTAGTATTACTTTCTCTAGGTAGGTACCAGCAGACTAGTGTTGTGATAACAGCCACAGTTGTTAACTGAGTACTTGGGTACCTCTCATCATGGAGGGTGACTGAAATGAGGGATTGAGGTAGTGTCAGTCATGCAGCAGTGTAGTTCACTACCTTGCAGACTGTAGTTGCTAACAGCCCTGCAGTGGATGGGTGTCGCTGGGGACCTGGGCTTGAAAAGTGGGAGGTGCGCTGGTACTGGAGCTCAGCTGTGGGGAGGCCGGAGTCTCAGGCTGCTGGGCCTTGTACAGTGTGAGGTGCTACCAGTTCGGGCTCAGCACAGGACCCCTGTGGAAACCAAGAGGACCCTTCATTGTGGAGGGGGGCCATATGAATGCCGAGGAGGCAATCTGTCCACACAGGTTGGACTGCGAGCCCTGGAGAATGGAGCACAGTTGCCTTTTCAGTTCTGTAGAAACATGTTCTTAAGTGTGGTGCCTGACACTGCGTAAGGATGGGGCTGTGTGTGTGTGTGTGTGTGTGTGTGTGTGTGTGTGTGTGTGTGTGTGTGTGTGTGTGTGTTTTGCTTCTGGTAAATCCACTTTGGATTATGTAAATTGCCTACCACTGCTGGTGATTACTTATGTGCCAGTTAGGTTTCTGTTCTGGGTACACTGTCTGGGTCCTCTTTTTTTTGGGGGAGGGGGGTCCGGTCATGGGGCCTGAACTCTGGCCCTGGGCGCTGTCCCTCAGCTCTTCAGCTCAAGGCTAGCGCTCTACACTTGAGCCACAGTGCCACTAACGGCTTTTTTCTTTTTGCTTATGTGGTGCTGAGGAATCAAACCCAGGGCCTCAGGCATGCAAGACAAGCACTCTACCACTGAGCCACCTTTCCAGCCCTGTCTGGGTCTTACAGTACAAGGTCACCAGCTGTGTGTGTGTGTGTGTGTGTGTGTGTGTGTGTGTGTACATGTGTGTACATGTGTATTGGGATTGAAGTAGCCTCACAATTGCCTCCAGCCTGTATTGGTACCCAGTAAGGCCTATTATCTGTGACCTTGTTCAAGGTCATGAGATCAGCCATTTGGTACTACTTCCTGTGTTTTACCTTTCTGTTAAAGACAGATGTCAAAATTAAGCAAATTACTTTTGAAATGTTGATTTCTTTTTTGGCGTAGTCTGTGTAATCCAGGATGGCCTAGAACTCTCAGTCCTCCTACCTTAGGCCTTTAGTGCTGGGATTACAGCTGAATGCCACTGCACCTGGTTTGGCTGTGTGGTTTTGTGATGCTTTTCCCGTAGGTAGTTATTTTGGTTAAGTGGTGGGAAGCTCAGTAATTAATCTGGTTTGGGGATGTATCTATCTGGAGAGGCTTGTGTGTAAGCTCTGCCTGTGATTGGGCAGGGCAGGCACAGTATCATGCTGGGGCAGGTGGCAGGCAGGGTGATTATGACTGCAAGCTAAGTGTTCTCCAGCTCAGCTTTTGCTAGCATATGGTAGGCAGGCAGGCAGGCAGGCAGGCAGGCAAGCAAGCAAGAAAGAATGCAGACAGACAGACAGATTTTTTTTTTTGTCAGTTGTGGGTCTTGAATTTAGAGCCTGGGTACTTTGTGCTCAAGACTAATGCTCTACCATTTGATAGCACCACTTTGGCTTTTGAGTGGTTAATTGGAGATGAGTCTCATGGGGCCGGGCGCCGGTAGCTCACACCTATAATCCTAGCTACTCAGGAGGCTGAGATCTGAGGATCATGGTTCAAAGCCAGCCAGGTCAGGAAAGTCCATGATACGCTTATCTCCAATAAAGCACTAGAAAACCGGAAGTGGCGCTGTAGCTCAAGTGGTAGAGCGCTCCCCTTGAGCTGAAGAGCTGAGGGATAGCGTCCAAGCCCTGAGTTCAAGCCCCATGGCCGACAAAAAAAAAAAAGTCTCATGGAGTCTTTTCTGCCTGGGCTGGCTTTGAACCATGGTCTTCAAATCTCAGCCTCTCAAGTAGGATTACAGGTGTGAGCTACCAGTTCCTGGCCAGCTGGTGTTTGTTTGTTCTCCTTCCTCCAAAGAGAACGATTTTACTGCAAAGAGAGACAACAGGAGAAATAGTCATTGGATTAAAAAGTAAGCAGACCTTGATTTAAAAAATACTGTAGAAACTGAAAGATGCTGTCTTTACCTTACTATAAGGGCATTGGACATGAATCTAAGTTTGTCCCTCTGAGTGGTGGAGCTCAGGAGCATTCCCGCTCAAAAGCAGTGTCCAGAGAAGGTGATTGGAGCTGTTGGCACCATTGATGTAGTGCCCTGGTGTGCTGGTGTTGAGCTTGCCCTTGTCAGTGGCACAGGTTGTGCTTGTATATGTGCCTTGTCTCATGGCTGCTGTGGATGAATCCTGAGGTATAGGGCATTCCCTTCAGCACAACCTTGGTGTGAACTGTGGGAGTCTCATTTGTGCCTTCTGTCCAGTGCTGCTTCCTTGGAATTTCGTACAGTGGTTGACAGCCTGGGTTTGGGGCCCAGCTGCCAGAGAGCACAGCAGATGCCTGAGCTTGCTGGGCTGCCTGTGGAGGCATAGTTGGGTTTGCTGAGCAGCATGTGGAGAAGCATAGTTGGGTTTGCTGAGCTGCATGTGGAGAAGGTGGTTGGGTTGGGTTCTGGAAGCTGCCTTGCTGCTTTTTGTGGCATTTCAATTTAGTCCTTGTGTTCTGTAAGCGAGGGCTTTGCACACTTTGAGCTGCTGGTCTGACCCGTGCCCAGCCTGGTGGCAGCACTGGGTATGTGTCCCTGAACCTAGCATGCATCTTACCTGCCTATCTTGGTGGCACCCAGGCCGAGTTCCCTGTGGGCACTGAACCCCCTTGCTGGGTTCTAGCTCTGGGTTGGACCTGGCTGGGTTGCTGCTGGAGGTGCATGTGGTACAGTGGCTTAGTTCTGGGCTTCCCCTCACTCCCTGTCTTAGTATGCTCCAGGGTGTGTATGAGGTGGTGTGGGCCAATTGTACTTGGTGTGGGGTGGCTGAGGAAGGCTAGGCCATGTAGCTAGGCTTTGAACTTGGGAGTCAATGCTGGATGGGTGCTGGGCTTTAATGGCTAGTTCCAAGAATGAAGTGCTAAGATTTGTGAAGCCTTGCGAATGCTAGGGTAGACCATCTGGTAGCTGCTTGTTCAGTGTAGAGGCAGCACTGGGGCTATGTGACCCTGCTATGGATCCCCAACACTGCATCCTAGAATCAGCCAGCAGCTACCACCAAGATGGTGGCCACTGACACTGAGGTATATTGTGAAATTCCTGGCAACCCCTCAGCTCCTTGTGTGCTGTGTCATGCCATGACACTCAGACCCTGAGGAGAAGGGATATGCCTGGCCAGTTGTCAGTGAGAGGTGTGGGTGGAGTCTTTGTGGGGACTGTTTTGGTCAGTATGTCTAGAGCCAAGGTGATCTGCTAGGGCCACACAGTGGCAGGCAGCAGTGCAGTATGTGATGTGTCTCTAGGTGCCCTCGGTGCATATCTGGGTTTGGGGTAGAGTACGCTGCTCTTTGGGTCCTCAGATAGCACTGGCCTGGGACATGGCTCTGAGGAGCTTTGGTCCTGCCTCCTATGGCAAGGGATGCATGAAAGATGTAGCTTCTCCTGCCTTTACCTGACAAGCAAACGAGTTCTAGTCAGAGCTGGAGAGTGGCCCCCCTGGTTTTGGAGATGACACTGTATGCAAATCGAATTCTTTCTACTTGGTTTCTTCAGGAGTTGTGTCTACTGTGGTCCCTGACTCTGCGCACAAGCTGTTCATCGGGGGCTTGCCCAATTATCTGAATGATGACCAGGTAACCCCCGTCCCTCCTAGCCTCTCCTGTTTCTGTGTGACATAGCCCTGATGGGTTCTTGGCCTGCTGTAGGTAAAAGAGCTGCTGACATCGTTTGGGCCTCTCAAGGCCTTCAATCTGGTCAAGGACAGCGCCACAGGGCTCTCCAAGGGCTACGCCTTTTGTGAGTACGTGGACATCAACGTCACGGATCAGGTGAGCCCTGCATGCCTGTTTGCTACATCTGTTCTCATCAACCCCACTCTAAGCTGAGGGCTTCCTCCCTCTGGGTTTGGGGTGGGATTGGGTGAAGTGGCCAGTTAGAAGAAAGGCCCAGTGGTGGAGCTCACCCCATTTTTCTTGGTTTTGGCTCTTTCCAAACTCAACCTCTTCTGGCTTCCCCTCTTTGCCCACTATTGCCCCAGTTTAGGGGTGAGTGCCAGGATTCTGGGTCCTGACCTATTCTTCTACTCCCTTCCCTCCCCTCATCCTCTGACCATAGGCCATTGCGGGGCTAAACGGGATGCAGCTGGGTGACAAGAAACTGCTTGTCCAGAGGGCAAGTGTGGGCGCCAAGAATGCTACGCTGGTGAGCCCCCCGGCACGTCATCTTCCATTGGCTAGAGGGACCCTGGGGCTGGGAGGGGCTGGTGGGGGCAGTTTCTCCCGCTCCGCTCCAGCCTTTGTGAGGGAATGAGTTTGGGGAGTACTGGACCAGTGATGGGGAAATGGGTACATGGCGTTTAGTGCAGGAAGTCTTCCCTGGCGGGTGTGAGGGGTGCAGGCTTGAGCGGAGGGAGACTGCTAGGAGCCGCCCTGTGACCTGCCCTCTCTGCTGGCCCACAGAGCACCATCAATCAGACCCCTGTGACCCTGCAAGTGCCGGGCCTCATGAGCTCCCAGGTACAGATGGGGGGCCACCCGACGGAGGTGCTGTGCCTCATGAACATGGTGCTGCCTGAGGAGCTGCTGGATGATGAGGAGTACGAGGAGATCGTGGAGGATGTGCGAGATGAATGCAGCAAGTACGGGCTTGTCAAGTCCATCGAGATCCCCCGGCCCGTGGATGGCGTCGAGGTGCCTGGCTGTGGAAAGGTCAGTGTGCCCTGGCTTGGTGTGCACCCTCTTCTCGGGCTCTGGGGCTTCTGGGGGTCTAGGGCCCCCAAGTGAAAGCTTGGGTTCTGTATTGAAGTGATTATGGTTCAAAACTTGGCTTTGCCTCTCCCTTGTGACTGCAAGGGCACGTGTGAAGAGAAATGCCCAATGTCCTGCTGCCGCTGGTGTGTCTCCAGTGTGCCAGGCCCTCTGCCTGCCTGCCTCCTCCCTAACCCTAACCTAGGGGGCAGGCCACTGCCGAAGTTCCTGCATTGTCTCCTCGCAGCTCACCATGCTGTGTCCCCTCTTTGCTGTACTTGGCTAAGCAGGCCTCTCACAGCTCCTCAGAAGGTGGTGAATAGTATGACTGGCATGTTAGAGTTATAATTCTTTCTTTTTTCTTTTTGGTTGGTCATGGGGCTTGAACTCAGGGCCTTGGCTGTTGCTCAAGGCTAACCTCTACCACTTCAGGTTTTCAGGTGGCTAATTGGAGATAGGAGTCTCATGGACATGAAGGTTGGCTTCAAACTGAAGCCAGGTTTCAACCTTCTGAGTAGTTAGGATTACTGGCGTGAGCCGCCAGTGCTGGCTATAGTCACAATTTAACAGGCATATTTATAGTGTTATGTGCGTTCTCTCTCTCTCTCTCTCTCTCTCTCTCTCTCTCTCTCCTCTCTCCTCTCTCCTCTCTCCTCTCTCCTCTCTCCTCTCTCCTCTCTCCTCTCTCGTATTGGGGCTTGAACTCAAGGCCTGGGCACTGTCTTAAGAGCTTCATGGACTTTCCTGCCCAGTCTGGCTTCAACTGATATTCTCAGATGTCAGCCTCCTAAGTATCAAGGATTACAGGTGTGCCATTGGCACTTGGTTTATCTGGATTTGTCAACTATTAACATTTGTTCTGAGGCTTTTGCTATGTTACCTGCATTCCCAGCCTCTGTCTGCTAGATGCCAGCAGTGCTGTAACTCCCTTTATGACAGCCCACAGCATGGGAGATACTTTTCAATATTTCCTGGGAACACATTTGCCTCTAATTGAGGACCACTACTCTAACCAGGTGGTCTTTGCAAAAATACTCCATTTGGGAGGTGGGTGTGGTGGGTCCAGAGCTTAATTCCCATCTTCCAGAGTGGCCATTCTACTCTGGAAGATGGGCAAATGGTTTGGAGTTCAAGATTGATGACTCAGCCAGAGACTCAGACAAACTAGAAGCAAAAAGTCTGAGAGCATGGGTCAAATGGTACAAGATGATGGCTTTGAGTACCAGGGAGAAAATCTCCAGTACCGGGGAGGTTCTTCCCCCCCCAAACCACAATATCATTTGTTGAGAGTATCTTAAATTCTTTTTTTTTTATTAAAAAAAATTTTTTTTTTGGTCAGTCGTGGGGCTTGAACTCTGGGCCTGGGCACCGTCCCTCAGCTGTTCAGCTCAAGGCTAACACTCTACTACTTGAGCTACAGCGCCACTTTTGAGCTACAGCGCCAGTTTTCTGAGTGTTAATTGGAGATAAGAATTTCACGGACTTTGCTGCCCCTCCCTGCCCCTACCCAGGATGGCTTTGAACCATGATCCTCAGAACTTAGCTTCCAGAGTACCTAGGATTACAGGTGTGAGCCACCAGCGCCTGGCTGAGTATCTTAAATTCTTATCTGCCTAATCTGTATTCAAGTATTCCTTTCTCAATAAAGTCTTTAAGAATTTGCTTCAGTAAACATCCAAATAAGACTTCTCCCCTTGAATCTGATTACCAAAGTTTTTTTGTTTTTTTCTTTTTGTGTTACAGAAGTGTAAGTCAGGACCACTTGAACTCGCTGGGTTTACTTTTTACTTGTTCCCATCTGGCAACTGTACCAACTTGAGCATTGCTTCCCCCCCCCCCCCCCCCCCCCCCCCACTGGTTAATTGGGGATGGACTCTCCTGAACTTTTTTTTTTTTAATTTTTTTGTGAACATACTGTACAGAGGGGTTACAATTACATGGGCAGGATAATGCGTACATTTCTTATCAAGCATTGCAGCCTCCTCCTTTGTTTACCCTTCATATCCCTTCCCAGCCTCCCCCCCTCTCCTGAACTTTTTTGTTGTTGGTCATGGGGCCTTAACTCTGGGCCAGAGTGCTTGTCCCTCAGCTCTTCAGCTCAAGGTGAGCGAACACTCTACCACTTGAGCCATAGCTCCATTTCCGGTTTTCTGGTGGTTTATTGGAGATAAGAGTCTCACCAACTTTCCTGCCCCCGGCTGGCTTTGAACTGTGATCCTGAGATCTCAGCCTCCTGAGTAGCTAGGATTACAGGCGTGAGCCACCGGTGCCTGGCTCTCCTGGACTTTTTGAGTTTAGCTTTGAGCCATGATCCTCTGGATCTCAACCTCTATGTATGTAGATTACAGACATGAACCATTGCTACCCAACCAGTCCCTCCCCCCTTTCAATTCTTCTTATTTAAAGAGTGATTCATTTTGCACTGGTACTGGGACCTAAACTCTGGGATCTTGGGCTCTTGCTTAGCTTTCTTGTTCATAGCTAATACCCTCCCACAGCCTGGCATTTTCTGTTTAATTAGAGATGTGAGTCTGGAGTATTTTCTGTCTGAGCTGGCTTTAAACTTCAATCCTGCCTGATGCCAGTGGCTCACGCCTAAAATCCTAGCTACTCAGGAGGCTGAGATCTGAGGATCACAATTTGAAGCCAGCTGGGGCAGGAAAGTCCCCATGAGACTTATCTCCAATTAACCACCCAAAAAAGCCAGAAGTGGCACTGCAGCTCAAGTGGTAGAGTACCAACCTTGAATACAAAGAGGCTCAGGAACAGCGTCCAGGCCCTGAGTCCAAGCCTCACAACCGATCTAAATAAGGGGCTGGGAATGTGACTTGGTGGTAGTGCTTGCCTAGCATGCATGAAGCCCTGGGTTCGATTCCTCAGTACCATATACATAGAAAAAGCCGGAAGTGGTGCTGTGGCTCAAGTGGTAGAGCCCTAGCCTTAAGCAAAAAAGGTCAGGGACAGTGCCTAGACCCTGAGTTTAAGCCCCAGAACTGGCCCAAAACAAAAAAGGTTGACCTAGAGGAAGGTCCAAGTTTTTTGGTTTTTGTTCATTTGATGTTAGGCATTGACCCTTAGATTTTTAGCATAAAACTAGTGCTCTACCACTTGAGCCAGTTCTACTTCTGGCTTTTTGGTAGTTTAATTGGAGAGAAAGTGTCATGGACTTTCCTGTCCAGGCTAGCTTCAACCTTTAATCATCAGATCTCAGTCTCCTGAGTAGCTAGGATTACAGCGGTGGGCCACTGACACCCGGCAGTTCAGTGTGGGGTTGAATTGTAAATTCTGAGCTTCCTTTCATCTGTTGGGGAGAACATGACCCTAGGAGTCCTCTGCACAGTGGACTTGTTCCCCACGAGTCTCCTCTCTGCCCCTGAGCCTGCCTTTGGCCTGCCACTTTCTCTGTGTTGCTCAGGGGCTCTCTGGCATGCTTGTATTCTCTCTCAGTGATGTCTGTGCTCTTTTGGTTTTGGAGGATGTTTGGGTGAACATCTTCAAACTGCTCAGAGGGTCCATTTCTGCAGCCTGTGGTGAGGCCTTTTCTCCCTCCATTCCTATACCCATTCTGGTCTGGGATGGATCTGGCAGATGGCAGGGGGGTGAGCCTTGTTTACAGACCTGCCTCTTGTTCCCACAGATCTTTGTGGAGTTCACCTCTGTGTTTGACTGCCAGAAAGCCATGCAGGGCCTGACAGGCCGCAAGTTCGCCAACAGAGTGGTTGTCACCAAATACTGTGACCCCGACTCTTACCACCGCCGGGACTTCTGGTAGAGGCGGCCGGGGGAGGGTGGGGACAGGGCTGGCTGGGGACATCCCTGGCCTGTCCTTCCCTTTTCCCCTCTGAAGACGATGGGCAGAGGAGTGACAGCCGAATGACAGCCGGCAGCAACTGGAATGGCAGCAATTAAGGGGGGTGGGGGGTGGGGGTCAGGGCAGGGAGGGGGCTGGGAAAGTGCACACGGCCCACACAGACACATGCACCCACACAGACACAGAGGGAAGGGGTGGGATGGGGTGCACAGGAGGGCCAGTAGGATCCCCTCCCCCCCCAGCAGCCCCTCCCCAAACAGTCCCTCCTCCCTTTATACCCTTTTTTCCCTCTTCCCTGTGATAGGAAAATAGCGTGTTTATATTTTATGGCCAAACTATTTTGAATTTTGTTGTCTGGCCCTCCGTGCCCCCCTCTCCTTTGCCGGACCACAGCTCCTGCCCTCTGGCTTCTGGTCCTCCCCAGGCTCTGCCCTGGTTTCTTAAGTAGTTGGTTCTTAGTCTCCTGCCCCGCTCCAGCCCCAGCCCCGCGGCCCTGCCCCCTTCTCTCTGTGGCAGTTTCATATTTGCTAAGACGAATTTGCTCATTAAACATTTTGTTGTATTTTACGGAGCCTGTGTGTCCGCTGTCTGGCCCGCCGGGGGTGGCTGTGTGTGGGCTCTCAACACGCGGCGCAGGTGTGCAGTGTGCTCGGGCGCGCGGTGGGGGGGGGCGCCCGCCATGGGGGCGGAGGCGATGCAGGCACCTGGCCTGGCCGCAGGCGCGAGCCCAAAAGGAGTCCGCCTGCTGCGGAAGTGACGTCATGGCACCCTTCCACTAAGTGCCGGCGCGCCGGAAGTGATGTCTGCCGGCAGCTTCGCTGGCGGAGCCCCGGCGCAGTGCGCTGGGCGGGGCGCGAGACCACTTCCGGTTCCGGTCCGTCTCCTTCGGTTGCTTCCCGTCCGCTCGGCGGCTCCCCTCCCCCGCCCGGCTCTCCGCGCCCCTCCCGGGCGCTGGGGCGGCGGGGCCGTCGGCGTGCGGCCCTCCGTGCGTCCGCGCCTGCGCCGGGTGCGCCTCCGCCGCCCGGAGCCCGACGCGCGCCCCGCGACACCGAGGCCGAGCGGGGGCTGGGGCTGGCCGTCATGACTCCCCGGAGCCCGGCGTGAGCGGGCGGAGGTGAGCGCGGGGCCGCGGGACCGCGGCGCACGGCCTCCGGCCGGGCCCCGTTCTGGGCGTCTGGATTTTCAGCTTGGGGTCACTGGTGGCGGTCTTTGTGCCGGGTCGGCCGCTTGCCGGTGCGTTTTTCGGGTCTGTCCATCTGTCAGCGCGCGCGCGTGTGTGTGTGTGCGCGCGCGTGCGTGCGTGTGCTGGTGTTTCTGCCCTTCGGTCTGTCCGTCTGTCCACGTCTCCGTGCCCCGCGGGCCTCTGTTAGCAGCCTGGGGTTGCCCTACCCCCGAGCCTGAGTATTTTACAGAAGGATTTGAAGATAGGATGTTTCTGCCCTGACTGTTTGTCTGTCTGGATCTTGAACTTGTCTTATCTGGGTTTTCTCATTATCTGACCCTCTGCGCGGCCCCCCCCCCCCCATACATACACATGCACACACACACACACGCACACACACACCCTGCCTTCACGTCTGCCGTTTTGTACCCATAGCCATCACCTCCAGTCTCCCAGTTCCTTTCCAGGAATCTCTTGCATGGTCTAGGATCTGCTTCCTTCCTCCAGATTTCCAAGTCTTCATAGCCTTGACTATGGAATCAGAGTTCCTGCTGCATGCTGTGGCATTTGACAGGTACTTCTGTTTCCAAACCTTAATTGTGAAGTCTTTAAGTAGAGGTATTCGTAGTTCCTCGTCATAGAGTCTCTGTGCACACTAATTGAGGTGGTGCATGTAAAGTGCCTAACAGTGCCTGGCACTTAGGAAGTTTGCAATTACTGGATGCTATGGTTTTTATTATGCCTTAAGAGTTGTGTTTCACTCAACATTTGGTAACCATCATTTGTGTTTACCTTGGAGGGTTTTGCCATACCATTTGTCTAATAATCTTTGAGTCTGTTTAATTAGAAAAGCAGCCTCATTTTAAGGACTGTCTGAAATCTTAGCTTTTATGTGCTAGATGTTTGTTTTCTTCTCACACATTTTAAGTGAATTCTTGGTAGGAAGACAGTGCATCCTTGATCCCACCCTTCTGTTTTTCCCTGATAATAATAACAGCCCATGTTGTTGAGTGCCTACTATCTGTGGGGCACAGAGCCAAGTGCTTTATGTACCCATCTTATTTAATCAACAAGTTTGGCAGGTAGGAATTCTTTTCATTTCAAAGTTGAGCAAACTGAACCCCAACTCTGTTCTGCTGGTAGCTGATGTGGCCAGAATTAAAATCTAAATTTTATTTTCTTTCTTCTTTTATGTCATTTTTCTTGCTCAGTCCCAAGACTCAAGCTTCTGTTTTGTTCTGTTCTCTTTCAGGCCAGTCACAAGGTCTTTCCTCATTTCCATACCCATGTCTTATCTTGTATCTTTGTCTCATTGTCCTCTGGGAAGCCCCCTCTGCCCAAATTTCTCTTCGCTTTCCATCTCCCTGGATCCTTTCTGGTGTCTTTCCGTACCGGTCACATTATTGTTTGCGTATTTACTTATTTATTTCTGTTCTGGTGTATTTGGCTAAGCCTGTGTCTGGAACCCTAACTACCTTTTCACCTAGTTATGCTTGTCTGCAGATGCCTGGTTCTTTGCCCTGTGTTCCGGAGGGCAGCCTTTTCATCCACTCACATCTCCCCCAGGCTTACATCCCAAGAGGACTCAGTACATCTCCTGTGCAGAGTAGTTCAGAGCCTGCTCTGGCTCCAGTTGTGAAACATGTCCCTTAACCAAGGGAATCAGTTGTGTCAGTATGCTCCTGTGTAAGGCAGCTGTGCACCATGGGGTTGTTGGGGTTAACTGAATTAATGTATATAAGGCACTTAGAAGGTGCCAGGCACAAGGTAAAGACTCACTGCATTTGCCTGACCCCCACCATCTGTTTCTTTTTCTTACCAGCTGGTCTCAGCACAGGTTATTTGGTTCATTTGGAAGTATACTCTTCTCTTTCTTCTGGGCTTCAGTATGGGTTTGCCTTGCCATCCCTGTGTGACACTGGCTGAATTATGTTGCCTCCAGAACTCAGTGTCCACACCCAGCAGAGTTAAATGAGATAATGTTGGCCTGTGCTTAGTAAGGTCTCTGCACACAGTTGGGACTTGTCAGTGCAGCTGTTGTATTGCTTATCTCTTCCCTTGAGCCTTGGGCTTCCCTCCCAGTCCTTGGAACACCTCCTCTCTAGGCATTGCCACCCGCTCACTGTCAGGGGAGGGACACTGTTTCCCTGCCCTAGCCTTTCCTCTCTCTGCCTCTTCTCCCCGTGTCCCTGTGTGCTGGGGATTGGACCCAAGGCCTTAACCCTAGGTAAGCACTCTTATCACCGAGCTACATCTTCAGCCATGGTTATTTTTTAGACAGGGTCTTGCTCTGTAGCACCATCCGGACTGGAACTCATAATTCTGCTGTCTCCCAGTTCCCCCATGTGGGGGTCACAGGTATACACCACCGTTTCTGGCCCTCTTGTGTTTTGTCTGCCATGGATTTCTACCACCTCTATTCCTGTTCTAGAAATCTTTTCTGCCCTCCTTTCTCCACTTCCTGCACCGTTTATTGAATGCTTTTTCCGGGCCAGCTTCTCTAGAGGGAAAAGTGGAGTACAGATGAATGTGGTTTCTAACCCCTTGGGCTCATGGGGTTGACTTTAGCCACAGAATCGGACAAATGGATTTAAAATCATGAGGGCCGCAGAGTCTACCAGAGAGGCCCCTGGGACCAGAGAGGCCGCTGGGACCAGAAAGGCCCCAGGGAGCAGTGACCTTGACATTTGAGTGAAGATTAGGAAGTTTGAATGGGAATCCCTGGCCAGGAAGGAAGAACAGTAAGCAGGCCAGAAGGTCTTATGACATTTCTCCTAGCCTTTATGGGGCACTTTCTGTTTACCAGGCCCTCTCAGTTGCCTGGGTTATTGTATAGACTCCCATTTGGCAGCAGAGAAAATGGAAGGGCAGGGCTGGGAAAGTGGCTAAGTGGTAGAGCACTTGCCTTGCATGCATGAGGCCCTGGGTTCGATTCTTCAGCACCATATAAGCAGAAAAAGCCAGAAGTGGCACTGTGGCTCAAGTGGTAGAGCACTTGCCTTGAGCTGAAGAGTGAGAGACAGCGCCCAGGCCCAGAGTTCAGGCCCAGACTGGCAAAAAAAAAAAAAAAAAAAAAGAAAGAAAATGGAAGGGCAGACGTTAGTAACTTGCTCAGATTGGCCTGTCTAGTAGTTAGCTGCATTGGGGTGTGGCCCTGTCTTTCTCACCCCAGTCTGACCTGCCACTGCACATTATGCCTCGCTGAGCACATGCCCCAGCAGGAAGAGGCAGGCGTGTTTGAGGAACTGAAAGATGGACTGGGAAACTTTCAGAGGTTAGCAGGAGACCGAGCCCTCTGGGCCACCCCAGGGGCTACCGGGAGCCTCAGGAGAGGTCAGGGCTCTGGCAGGCCTGTATCCGGTCTCTGTTTCTAAAGGCCCTCTTTCCCCCTCAGATGTGGTGATCTGCTGGCACCTACCGCAGCCTCCCTGTTGGTCGCCTCATTCCACGCTCCAGTGGGCCTGGGCCCCCCACGCCATCCCGACCACCATGTCGACCTCATCATTGCGCCGGCAGATGAAGAACATCGTGCATAACTACTCGGAGGCAGAGATCAAGGTCCGGGAGGCCACAAGCAATGACCCTTGGGGCCCGTCAAGCTCACTCATGTCCGAGATTGCTGATCTCACCTACAACGTTGTGGCCTTCTCTGAGATCATGAGCATGATCTGGAAGCGGCTCAATGACCATGGCAAGAACTGGCGCCATGTCTACAAGGTCAGCGCCGTGGGGTGGTCCCCTGGGGCTGGTGTGCCTCTCGTTTTCTAGAGGCATGAGGACTGTCCATGCACATGAAATCTGTTGTCCAGTGAAAGCAACACATGGGGCTCTGGTTCAAAGCGGAGGATGCTTCATTCTCTCATGTAAATGGCATAGGTAGAGTTGGCATGTAACCTCTGTGTGCGTACGTACGTACGTACATATGTGGGTGTACATGTACCCATGCACATGTATGCATCAGTACTAGGGCTTAAACTCAGGGCCTGGATGCTTGCTGTTCTTTAGCTTGTTTTGTATAAGGCTGGTGCTTTGCCACTTGAGCCACAGCTCCATTTCCAGCTTTATTGGGAGTTCATTGGAGATAAGAGTCTCATGGACTTTCCTGCCCAGGCTGGCTTTGAACCGCCTCCCTTAGAGCTCAGTCCCCTTGAGTAGCTGGAATCACTGGCTTGAGCCATTAGCACTCAGCTCCCAAAGAATTCTGGCCCATGGTTGGCTGGGAATGTTGAACATGTGGGCCAGAATGTGCAAGTTGCGTAGTGTTTCTGGGAGTTTCAAGCATGTGATAGAAGTCTGCTTTTGTATATGCGGTCTGTTGTAGACTCAGGCTCTGCAGGCCCAAGGGGGCCCATAGGGCATGTTCCTTTCTGGTGTCCACTTGTTACTTGGCTTGGAGAAACTGAGT